GGGGGTGGGGGTGGGTGGGGGGTGAGGGGGCGGTGAATGAGATTTCAAAGCATTCATCTTTTCCCTGGTTTTATGAGATAGAAGCAACTGATTTTAAGACAATGCCCAGCCTGGCTGGTGTGGCTCAGTGGTTGAACATAGATCTATGAACCAGGAGGTCAGGGTTCGATTCCTGGTCAAGGTGCATGCCCAGGTTGTGGGCTCGATCCCCAGTGGGGGTTGTGCAGGAGGCAGCCAATCAATGAAATTCTGTCATCATTGATGTTTCTCTCTCTCTCTCCCTCTCCCCTCCTTTCTGAAATCAATAAAAACATATTTTAAAAAAGACAATGCCCAATTATTGATAGACCCAAACCTCAGGCTCTTTTGGTGATTTACCACAAAAGCAGAATCTTTGAAAATATAAATGTCACATATTACTTGGGTTTGAGTAAAACAAAATTTTAATTCTCTATTCAATGCTTTGAAATATGTGTAATTTTAAATATTTTAAAAGTTTGGTTAGATTACCATGAAACTACTAATCACATTCCATTCAACTCAGAGATCTCAAGTGACCATAGCCAATTTCTAATGTCTCCCCATTATATATAATCTTTTACCTGTAAAAAGTTCAACCGGGCTAGAAAATCTGTGATGTAACTTCCTAGGGGCTTAAGACTTGGATATGATCGTTGGGCCCATATTTCTGGAACTTTTCCAACAAGCAAACTTCCGGAGAGTGCCTCCAATGCAGAGTCCATTACAACCACACCCTTAATAGCTTTCTCGAGGTCCTGTAGAGTGCTACGTATAGTTTTAATTAAACTGCAAGGAAAGCAATTATATGATCAACATATATGTGAAATGAATATCAACATGGAATCTTTTCAGAAGAAATAGCAGGAATCTCATTCACAGCTTTATAAGGGTGTTTCCCAAAGTACGGTCACTTCTACTTGACAATGTAAGGTTATTTTAAGTTATACTTAAATTAACATTTTTCATTTTAAAAAGAAATAGTTTAAATAAAGTAAATAATACAACTAGTTTTTTGGGTATTATTGCATAGGACCAGGCTAATTTAAGCAGATAATGATTAATAGAAAAATGTTACATAAATAATGTTACAGGTGACTTTTAAATGTGGAAAAAGTTATAAAAGTGTTATACAATGGTTGAATTTGGGAAACTGCCTCAAAACATAAAGCTTATATTCATTTATGCACTTTTGAATAATCTGCTTCCCACTTAGGCCCAAACTGCTAAGAATACTATAAATACACCTGATGTCAGGGTTTTAGGCTAGAAGCCTAAATATACCTGATGTGAGGGATAATATGTTATTACATACTAGAGGCCTGATGCACGAAATTTGTGCAAGGGGCTCGGCCCTCGCAGCCCTGTCTTCATCCGGAAGGTTGTCAGTCTAATTAGCATATTATGCTTTTGTTATTATAGATAAGTTCTTGTGAATACTTATTATATGTATGGTCTTACAAAATACTGAATTAATATTTTATTTTAAAACAAGTCTAGAAACCCAAATAAACTTGGAAACACTTAGAAAATTCATGACCAAAACAATCTCCATTCCTTAAGCCCGGACTGAATTGTAGAAAATGCAATTTAAAAATTCAAAGCATATATAATCTGTTTGCTAGGATGGGGTACCTAATCAACCTAGATTGTACTCAGGAAGAAAAACAAGGTGTATATATGTTAAATGGAAGAAAAATGTCAAAAGATGTGACTACACACAGGCCTCATTAATGCTCATTTCATCTTTAGTTTCTGAAGAAACTAATAATGGATTGATGAGAAATTCCAATTAATGAATATTTTTAACCAGATTTCTTTTTCATCACTATTTTTACATTATAAAAGATATCCTTACTTCTGAGGCAAAAGGTTATGCAGTTAAATTATGAATTTAAAAAGGGGGAAATTATAAAGAAATGGCAGGTTTTGATAATTTTTTTCTTAAAGCTTTAAGTCAATACCAACTTTTATCAACTTTGGTTGGTCACCTTATGGATCACTGGGGATATAGATCCTTACTTGTTAAATCTTTCCATTTCTTGTACTAACACAGTATTCATGCTCTCTTCATAGCTCACAGGATACGTCAACAGGGCTGCTTCAATGTCAAAATCATTTGGTAGCTAAGAGAATAGATTTTAAAGATCACATATTACTCTAGAATAGATAGTTTCATTCAGCGATAATACTAATAGCTAGCACTAAGCAGTTACTATGTGCCTGCTTTCTATACATCATCTCTTTTTTTTTTTTTTGGTTTTGTTTTGTTTTTTGTTTATCCTCCCTGACCAGAGCTAGGGATCGATCCTGCAACCGAGGTATGTGCCCATGACTGTGCCCTTGACCGGAATCCAACCCCGGACCCTTCAGTCCATGGGCTGATGTTCTATTCACTGAGCCAAACTGGCTAGGGCTCCATACATCATCTCAATTTAATTCTTACCATTTCCTATTAGTTGGCCATTATTATATCCATTTACAGATGAGGCATTTAAGTAAAGAGAGGATAAGTAACTGCCCAAGGGCACACAGCCAAAAAGTGATCTGTTTAAACCCACAGGTCTTTAACTCCCAAGGCCCATGTTGCAGGACATAGCACTTTGCAGAAGATAAACATTTCTGAAAAGTAGTATAATTTCCTTTTGTAAATTGAATCTTATTTTGTATTGATAAAACTGATGTACCATTTCATAACTGTTTTATATTGATTCCCAATCAATTATCAACTGGCTTCAAATAGCTTGGAAACACTTAGAAAATTCATGACCAAAACAATCTCCATTTATGCTATAAATCAGGGGTCCTCAAACTACGGCCCATAGGCCACATGCAAATACAAATATTGTATTTGTTCCCGTTTTGTTTTTTTACTTCAAAATAAGATATGTGCAGTGTGCATAGGAATTTGTTCATAGTTTTTTTTAAAAACTATAGTCCAGCCCTCCAACGGTCTGAGGGACAGTGAACTGGCCCCCTGTTTAAAAAGTTTGAGGACCCCTGCTATAAATAAATAATGTATGAATGTAGCAGGGCTCCAGGGCATTGGGAAGAGAAGGCCATCAAGTGTCTGATTTCTATGAGGCACCTCAGGGATGCTTGAGAAGTGATGAAGGGGACTTTGGGACTGATGATCAAGCTGCAAGACATTGGAATTCATACTCCTTAAGGGACAAAGAAGTTTCCCAATCAGGGAAGTACCAAACTAAAAAAAGTTGAGCTGCCCAGAGTATCTCCAGGTGATGGTCCCTGGGTGTTGCTAAAGAATTCTAAGTCACGCTAGGTGGTGTCACTCAAGGACCCTTTGACTTAGTACAACCCCTCTACCCCATATAAGTCCCAGATTCCAGTGTCAGGTAACTTCCTGTTAGGAATCTAGTAAATGCCACCACTCTGTAAGGGTGAGAACCTTTCCCCACAGCGGTAAATCACAGAAATGGTAGGGGATCAGGGGTAAGAAGAGGCAAACAACAGAAGCAGCACTCCAGGGGAATGGGTGAGAGGAGGCTAGTTTGCTCTAACTCGGGGGTCACAGGCATTGCCGTTCCACTCTCTTCTCCAGTGGTAGCAGCCGAGTGAGTAGGCTCCTAAGGAGTGATGTCAGACAAGGCTACCAGCTGTGAGAGTCGAGGAGTGGTGCTGCCCATGGGCTTTCAAGGCAGATGGACAGGTTATGCTATGTCAGAGTGCCTAACACTGTGGGGATAATTACAGTATTTGCCCTAGACAAGAATTGTGAAGAACTGTGATTGGGACCATGATGTTTTTAAAAGTTACATTAGTTCTTTACTGAATTTAAGACAGAAAAAAAGGTGAGAGGGCTAATTAAGAACATTGGGTTGTATTATGAAAAAAGAAAAAGAGTGCTAGCAGCTAATTCTGTGCTTCCTCACTTCCTAAGGTAGCCTAAAAACTATTCACTCCTTGATCCAGTAAGTTCAGACCATTTCCTCCATTTTTTAAAAGTAGGTCCATTATTGCTCTGGTCGGTGCAGCTCAGTTGATTGAGAGTTGTCCCATGCATCAGGAGGTCGCTGTTTCAATTCCTGGTTAGGGCACATGCCCAGGTAGCAGTGCCTGGGCATGTGCCCTTGATTTTTAGTAGTGGGTGTACAGGAGGCAGCTGATTGATGATTCTCTCTCACAGTAGTGGGTGTACAGCTGATTGATGACTCTCTCTCATCACTGATATTTCTATCTATCTCCCTCTCCCTTCCTCTCTTAAATCAATAAAAAATATATATTTAAAAAATATGTTTTTCTCTCATTGATGTTTCCCTCTCTCCCTCTCCCTTTCTCTCTCTGAAATCAATAAAAACATATTTTTTAAAAGTAGGTCCATTATCTTTGCTTAGAAACGACAATAAATCATATATGTTCATTAGCTCATCCACAGCTAAAGTTCCTAAGAAGTTATCATGTGCTAGGTGTTATGCAAAGTACTTTATTTATTTATGTCATTTATAACAACTGATAGTCAATTTATTAAAAAGGTTGATTTAAGCCCTAGCTGCTTTGGCTCAGTGGATAAAGTGTCGGCCTGGGACTGTAGAGTCCCCAGTTGGATTTAGGTCAAGGGTACGTGTACCTTGGTTGCAGGCTCAATCTCTAGCCTTAGTCGGGATGCATGGGGGAGGCAACCAATTGATGTGACTCTCTCATATTGATGCTCCTCTTTCTCTGTCTCTACCCCTCCCTTCCACTCTCTCTAAAAATCAATGGAAAAATATACTTGGGTGAAGATTAACAAAAAAAGGGGGGGTGGGTGGGGTGAGAGGTTGATTTAATTATCTACAATGGTGACTTAAACCTGGACTCAGGCTCAATACTGATGGAAGCAATCAAGGACTGTGCAAGTCAATGAGTCGTTTGTGGATCCTCATCTGAAACTGATCCTAAGTCTTAGAACCCTCCCCACAGGAAGTTTTTCCTGTAGTGATTCTGAGAGCCTGGGCCGGCATCTGAAATAGTCCTTTCACTTTGAGATTCTTTTTCGTTGCCCCTCTGATCAAGTAAGCACACACCTTCTCCAAAGATTTTACATTGTGTCTGGTTAGAGTAATTCCAATTAGGAGAATTGCCACCTCTGGTTGTATGGGTGTCTTTCCTGCATCTTTAAAAGCCTTGGCTGCAGAGCACCTTCCAGACCCACTTGCTCTTGGGCCAGAGTGAACAGCAGTGAGTCAGGAGCAGGAGCAAGCCAGATGGGGCTTCGCTGCTATGCAACCCCGACTTCTTTATTTATTTCTTAAATTTATCTTTATTGTTGAAAGTATTACAAATACCCCCTCCCCCCCAATTAACCTTCTCCACCCTGCACCAGCTCCTCCCAGCCTTCACCACACTACTGTCTTTGTCCATGGGCTATGCATATATGCATATAAATTCCCTGGTTAATCTCTCCCCACCCACCTCCTCCTTCCCTCTGAAATTCATCAGTCTGTTCCATACTTCTTGTCACCACTTCACAGATCTGGAAACTAATGCTCAGAAAGGTAAAATATCTCACACAAGGTCATAATGCTCTTAAATGAAGTTTTCAGATTGGCATTTCAGTACCATTTTGATTTATATTATATTATAAGCAACATATTTTAAACTAAAATTACCTTTTGGAGAATATCTCTGCTAATTTCAAATAGAATCTGGTCAGTACTTCCTGAAGATCCTGTCTGTTTGGAGCCTCCCTGGGTGAGAAGCAAGGACTCAAAGAGGACTTTTGTTTGTTGAAGGTCTTTGGAGATATCAACATTTTCATGTAATCCAAATACCTCAGGGTGTTGAGTAAATGGAAGTTTCTACCAGAATAGATCAAGCAAGCATCACATTATCACTGGATACATTAATTCATAAGGTAGACACGTGCAAACCAAAAAGGGTTAAAAATCAACCAAACAATAATGGAATCAAACTTTTCTAATTTTTAATAATTATTAGAAACAAAAGATTTTGAAAATTGATTGAAATAATACTTATCTAACCCTATACATTACCTTGGAATTGTTCACTATTTGCTTTTTAGAAAAATCACACTTAAATCTAACCCTATTTTCAGTGATATCAGTTACCTTAATGAATTCAATGTAATCATTATAGGTGCCTCTGGGAGGTGCAAAATAGTTTCCACTGGGAGAAAATTTATAATGAGGGTTTTCAATTATGTGTGTATTATAAAAGTCAGCCAGCATGGTTAAGAGGAGACGTCTGTCCCAATCATCTGTCACTCTTCCTCCATAATTACACTCCCCAGTCAGGTAAGAGATAGCTTCAAATGGAATTGTGTCATATTCATTTATAAATAACTGAAAAAAATGAAACATAAAACAAGAAAAACAAAGTCTTTCACTTCATTTCTATTTTAAGATGACATTAAATATCTATCTATCTATCTATCTATCCACACAGAAGTGGGGTTGAAAGAATTATCACCATGCGTTATCTTGGGTGACCTTTCGGAGGCCACATGTCATAAAGGCCCTTATCACAGCTAAAAAACAGAAAAGTATTAATATTCTGTGTTTACCTAATTGGGCAAGTTCACTCCCTAGTTTTGGCTTTCTTAAAAATAAGAATAGTACCAACCTTATAGGGTTGCTGTGAGAATCAGAATATAAGTAATGTGCCGAGTTCAAAGTCTGAGTTAGTAGGAATTTACAGTAGATATTTATTTATTTATTTATTTGGAGGGAGCCTGCCAACCATCTGAATGTCTCACCCTGTGAGTCCTAGCCTCTGTTATAGCTAAAGCCTATGCCTCTGACCTGGGCTTGGTTCCTCAGATGCATCCATCCTAGACTGAACTAGGGTTTTAAGCAAAGAAGTAAGAACAGCAAAGAATTGTTTTTTATGATATCAGAGGGCCTGCAGCAGACCAGTGTGTGTGTGGCAGGTATGTGAGCTGCAGTGTCTAATATTCAAGAAAAGTAGAGGCTCTACTCTTACCAGATATGATGTGACTCTGAATATGACTCTGGATGCTTTGGCTCTCCAGCCATCTTGGTGATTCTGTGACCTACCCAATATTCTTTCAATAAATTCCTTTCTACTTAAATTAGACAGCCTGTTTCTGTTGACTGATACAGCAAAATTGTTGATTTCACTGAGTGGAGAAGAGGAGAGGACAGTGAGGGCCTGTATAAAGCCAACACTGAGGAGGGCACTGCAAAAAGACAGGGTCCTGATGACAACACTTTTGCTGAATCAACCAACTCCCAGAGCGTGTCCTTCCTCTGCACTTTTTTTTTTTTATGTGAGATAAGTTTCATTATGGTTTAAGCCAGTTTGAATTGGGTTTTCCATTATTTGTAGCAGGAGAAAAATCCAGATGGAGATAGTGCTTCATAAACCGTAATTGTAATTATTATTGCTATCTACCCACCTATTAGTGATGTTGGGAGAATTAAGTTTTTCTAAGCAAAGGGCCTGATACACAGTTATCCTCCATTAGTGTTAGTTCCTTTCTAATTTTACCTGCAGTTGTCGAATACTGATGCGTAAGTCTGATTCATTAAATCCATATGGAATATTCCAACCAAGAGGACCAAATTTCTTTCTCTCTTGTACAAGGGCATGAAAGAAACAAACTCCAAACAGCAACTTCTCCCATGCCTTTAATATAAAAGTTATATAACAAGAAAAAAATTCTGATCAGATTTCCTTCAGTTAAGCAAGGGGAGTCAGTGATCTTTTTCATTGTAAGATTCTGTGATCATATATCACTAAAAACTTCTACTTAAAAAGTACTAATTTTATGACTTAATACCTCCAAAGCTAGACAAACTGCAATAATATTAAAATTCATTAAAATGTAATGACTCTACCATTTACCAAAGTATTGGCTAATAATACCTTGGTATTGTTCATAGGTATTTATAACTTCAATACTTAACTGTTATCCTATAGACTCATTGGCACATGCTTGAGATTACAAGTGCAGGAGAATATCTAACTATTATCCTACTAGAGGCCCGATGCATGAAAATTTGTGCAAGAGTAGGCCTTCTTTCCCCCCAGTTGCTGGCACCAGCTTCCCTCTGGCACCCGGGACCCAGGCTGCTTCCCTCCTCTGGCCACCCGCAGGCACCTGGGACCCAGTCTGGCTTCCTTCTGGCCCCGGCTTTGTCAGGAAGAACATCAGAATGATGGCCAGAAGATGTCTGGTCTAATTAGCATATTACCCTTTAATCATTATCTTACCTAATAACAGACAAACATGCTAATTGACCGTACCTTCGCTATGCCTTAAGCCACGCCCACCAGCCAATCAGAGCGACTATATCCAAATTAATCCAACCAAGATGGCGGTCGGCAGCCACGGAGCTGGAGCAAGCAGGAGGCTTGGTTGCCCCAATGATGGAAGAAGCCAAGCTTCCCGGCCAGCTGCTGCCTCCTCTCAAGGCAACAAAGTTTCAATTATAGAAGGTAAATAAACCCCAGATACCTGCTTCCAGTCGCCATGGCCACAGAGCTGGAGCGAATAAAAAAAAAAAGGAAAGGCTGGGAGCTTTGGTTGCCTGGGGGCTTGGTCAGTCTGAAAACAGCCCTCAGCCCCTCACCCAGGCTGGCCAGGCACCCCAGTGGGGACCCCCACCCTGAAGGGGGGTTGGGCAGCCTGAAAATAGCCATCAGCCCCTCACCCAGGCTGGCTAGGCACCCCCGTGGGGACCCCCAACCTGAAGGGGGTTTGGGCAGCCTGAAAACAGCCATCAGGCCTTCACACAGGCTGGCCAAACCCCCATGGGGTGAGCGTCCCCAGTGGGGGGCTTGACCAACCTGCAAACAGCCATCAGCCCCTAACCCAGGCTGGCCAGGCACCCCAGCAGGATCCCCACCCTGATCCAGGACACCCTTCAGGGCAAACCAGTCGGCCCCCACCCGTGCACCAGGCCTCTATTCTATATGATAAAAGGGTAATATGCAATTTGACCCTAACAGCAGAACGACTGGGAATGACTGGTCACTATGACACACACTGACCACCAGGGGGCAGATGCTCAATGCAGGAGCTGCCCCTGGTGGTCAGTGCGCTCCCACAGGGAAAGCTCTGCTCAGTCACAAGCCAGGCTGATGGCTGCCAGCACAGCGGTGGTGGCAGGAGCCTCTCCTGCCTCCTCAGCAGCACTAAGGATGTTCGACTGCAGCTTAGGTCTGCTCCCTGCTGGCAAGTGGACATCCCCTGAAAGCTGCTGGGCTGCCAGAGGGATGTCTGACTGCCAGCTTGGGGGATCGGGCCTAAGTCAGCAGGTGGACATCCTCCCAGAGGTCCCAGACTGCAAGAGGTAATAGGCCAGGCTAAGGGACCCCCCTGAGTGCACAAATTTTTGTGCATCTGGACTCTAGTAGATATAATAAAAGCATAGTATGCAAATTGTCCCCTTCACTGGGAGTTCTTCTGGGAGTTCGACCAGAGGTCAGGGCCTGCTGGGGGAAGGGAGGGAGGCCCTGGTCAGCAGCAGGCAGTGGGGGGAAGGGAGGGAGTACTCGGCTGGCTGCTGCCAGCCTCTAGGGACCCTACAGTGCACAAATTTCATGCATTGGGCCTCTAGTGTTATGAATAAATACCAATATATAGTTTCTGATTTTGTGACTTTCCATTTGGAGATCATTTTTGGAAAACATTGTTTATTTACTTTCTCCATGGTATCTTCACATGCATGTCACATGGGCCTTTCACTAAGCCTGTGATAGAACTCTGGAGGATGGCCTCCCATCCCTTTGAGATCACTGCAATTAAATTTCAAGTATGCTACACTGTCTGTATTTTAAGTTAGGGCACCTCAAACTTAGCTCCAAATGCCGTAAAAATCCATCCAGCTATTTTCATGTGACATGGTAGTAGAAATTGTTTCTGTAATATTAAAATGAAAGTATGCCATGGCTTAACTGAATAGCTGTATTCTTGAAATGTTGTACATAAACCAAAGTTTATTTTACATATACTAGATGAATGCTGTAGTGATACATTTAATAGGGGAAAACCTTTTGTCAATGAGAGCAATCAACTAATTTAGGTGTATTCTCCACATATTTTCACATAATGGGTTTCTTGAGGTGACCATTCACATATTCTAAAAACACTCTTAAATATATATAATCCTTTTCTGAAGGCAGCATTCCCCTACACCCCATATGTGTTTTTTTCCAACTGATCTCTGAATTACATTTTCCAGGGTACATCTTGTGACTAAACCCAAGGTGGCAGCAGGCTAATATCATAATCTACCTAAAGATGATATCATCAACCCAGCATCAGTGAGATCTGCCTTTTGGCTTGTTTTCTATGATGTGGTGCTGGTTTGTGTTGATTCATCCAAATTCCTTAGCAATGCATATAGAGATTTTCACAGTCTTGTCCCTATATTCTTTCCCACTCTTATCTCCCATCAGTCAAGCCAAAATAAGCTACTTGTTGTTCTTTCAACAGCTTTGTCATAATTCTGTGCCTTTAGGCATACTTCCTGTGCCTACTTCAAATGTCACTTTCTCCAAGAAGTTTTCCTCAATCACACAGAAGTGGGAAGAGACAGAGTGATCTGGGTACCAAATCCCACCTCTAACACTTGTGAGCTATATGACTTAACACTTTATTTGATTTGCCTGAGTTTCCTTATTTAAAAAACAAGGTTGTTTTATATATATATTATAGAGTTATAAGGCTTGTATATTCCTGCTGGAGTTCAATAAATATTTGTTTCCTTTCTCCCCTCCTTTCTTTGTCCTCCCATAGTTCATAATACAACCATGGCAGTGGTTTTCAAACTAGTTAACATCTGAATTTCCTTTGTTATTTGTTTGTTTATACCAGTTCCTGAGCTCCACTTTGGACTTAGTGAATCAGAATCTCCAGGAGAGGGCCACTGACATCTGTAACTTTAATATGGCCTGAGGTTTACGGGGATTATGCTTAAGCTTGCCTTGCATATATTTCCCTTGACTAGGATGTAAGCTCCATGAAGACAGAGATTTTGATATATTTATATGTTCATTACCAGTTCCTAGAAGAGTGTCTTACACCTAATGTATTCAAGAAATATTTATTGGCCTGGCTGGTTTGGCTCACTGGATAGAGCATCGGCCTGGGGACTGAGGGGTCCCAGGTTCGATTCCGGTCAAGGGCATGTACCTTGGTTGCGGGCACACCCCCAGTGGGGGATGTGCAGGAGGCAGCTGATCGATGCTTCTCTCTCATCGATGTTTCTCACTCTCTATCCCGCTCCCTTCCTCTCTGTAAAAAATCAATAAAATATATTTTTTTAAAAAAAGGAATATTTATTGGATAGATGAATTGATGAGTGGATGGAAATTCAGAAATGTATCCTTGCCCTTAAGGGGCACACAGCTGGTTATAGGAGACAGATATATAAACTGACAAATAACTAATATGTTATCATTGCTAGATAATTTAAATGGCCAAGATGTCAATTTAACTGTGATTATAAAGATCATATTTACTTTTAATAGCTAAATGATGATAGTTCAAATTATTGCTGGCCCAATGGTCATAAATTAGTCTTATCAAAGGGCATCCCAGTTATTTCTGGGAGCCTCCAAAGGAGTTTCATTATGTGCCTACAAAAAACCCCCAGTCAGCTACAGAAACCCTAGGGCAACGGTTCTCAAAGTGTGCTTCCAGGACCATCAATATCAGCATCACCTAGAGATGCATTTTTTAAGCTCTACCCCAAAACAACTGAGTCATAAAATCTGGCAGTGGGGCCCTGCCAGATGAATGTGATGCACATTGAAAACCAATTGTCACAGGGCAACCACACTCTTTTTCTTCTGTTACCCTAGCTCCCATTTGTTTTTACTACCAGAACAGTTGCTTGGTGAATAAAAATGATGATACATGGCTAGGGTGCTATCTTTGGATGTTGTACTAATCTCAAAACTTGATGTGCCAACGTTGCTTGCTCAATGATGTAATATAGGAGAGTGCTGCTTTTCCAACTCAGTACCATTCTTTATTTGGGTCATCTAAGCCTCAAAGCAGCTCAACTTGTGTTTGGAATCTTTAAAAATTTCCCTTCTCTGCTTCTGGCTCTCTCCTCTAATTGCAAAAGCTCAGACCCTGAGTGGGAATCAGACACCACACCTCCATTCTTTTCATAGCTAAAACTACCAAGTTTCCTCTTTTTCTTCCAGAGTTATAAACAAAATCATCATTCAGAACTAGGGCACACAGAAAGTATCAATAAGCAGAAACAAACTAGTTTGCATCCAAATTCAATCCTTTACCTTCAATATCATTATTTTTCTCACTCTAATAAGCAAATATGATATACAGCATGCATGTATTGGAGGTGAGGGCAGGGGATTTCCCCTAGTACTGATGTTTTCTTCCATGTGGAGAAAGTTCAATTAATGTAATACTCCTGAATTTTCTCCTTCCTTGTACTCATTCAGGAGAGGGGAGTGACCTATCTGATCAGTAAATTTTGGAAAAGTTAACCAGATATGCTTTGCTCAGCTTCTCCCTTTTCTCTTTTAGAAGCGAGCTTTCTGCAGGAAGGAATTTTTCTGTTTCTTCGGGTGGGTAAGTCTGCTTAATTCTGGGTTCAGTAATATGAAGCCCATTTGTTCACAGACAAACTGTATCTTCCAACTTAGTCTACATCAGTAATTAAGGTTATAATTTGATTCCCATGCACTTATACTTTTCCCTGTTTCTTAATTGGTACGAATTCAGGCATAGAAAGGAGTACTATTTATTGGGACTCCTCGAGTATCCAATACCATATGCAAAACTGTTTTACATGGATACATTGAAAAGCATTATTAATACATCAAAACATTACTGCTAAAATTTAAGTTCCATGAAGGCAGATTTTTTTGGGATTGTCTATTTTATTCTCATTGTTTCATATCTTGTACCTAGGACAGTACCTTACACACATATTTGTTGAATGAATAAATGATGTAAACTAGATAGCTATTCTTGGGTCTTAATCAAATACGCTATTGGGCTTTGGTTTAAAAACTAAGATAAAATAAACTATTGGGAAAAAATGAACAAGATAGGTACAATTTCTGTCTTCTTAGAAAATGCCTAACATTTAATATTCTTAAATTAAATATTTATATTTCTATATTCTATCAGTATAAAAACATATTTTAAAAGTTCCAGAAGCTGAATATTACCAACTCCTTTCCATGGCATCCATTAAAAAAATGATGATCAGAAATTGGATCAGTGAGATATGACTGGAGGAGATTTAGCCGAAGACCCGTAGGAGGTTCATTAGTCATTTTCACTCCGTTTTGTAGAATTGTTACGGGGAACTAAGACAAAATAAAACAGAGAGCATTACTCAAAATAACCAGCTTGAGTCCTAAAAATGCATGCACCAGTGAATTAAAAATAGGTATAAAAGAGGACTTCAGAAATGTTTTTCTTTAAACCTCTTAAAGTTAAGCATTTAGAGCGTGACTAAGATACACATGTAACAGATAATTAAATAAGTGTACTGAACTCCATAGGAAATAATCATACTTTTGGAGATGGATAACTTGTAAGCCAAAGCCTAAAGGATGAGTTACAGACATCAGGGGAAAAATCTTCACATATTTTTTCCAACGTGGGCATCCAGGAGACAGCAAGGTGACAATTCTGTAGGCAAACCCAAGTTCCTTCTTCTATTGCTGCTTTAATCATTTTTGTTGCAATTGGTCCTTGTCCCTGTCCCAGTGAAATAGCTTGAAATTTATTTCCAGTCATAGCTTTATCATTTGCAAATTTCAGCAGGCCTAAGAGGGCACAAAAAAAATGGTTTCACTGCTTACTCTAAAATTATAAAATATGGCTTATGTTTTTAGTAATAGGTATTTAATTAAAAAATTCTAATTACCTTTCCTTATAAGTACTGGATTTACTAACTGACTTACAGTCATATAAAAGTGGATATTAAGTATGATGATTTATTTATAATTTCTTTAAAGTTGATAGCATATACACTTACTGGCCATGGGATCTGCTCCAGGAGATAGCACAAAAATTAAGGGAATAGTGCAATTTGAATCCCAGTAACTCTTTGTCAAATCAAATGGTGGAGGCTCTACAAACTTTTTCCCCAGTTTGTCAGTTACATAATTTGTTATAGCTGGAGTTATCTGTTAAAGAAAGAAAAGTTATGATTTTTAGAGTAATTTTTATTTCACCTAACATCTTTATTACTGAAAACCAACAAAGAGTGAAATATGAGTTTAATGGCCAAGAAAAGCACCCAGCCTATCACAGACAATGCATAATTTATCTAATACATAAAAAGTGTCTATAAATTGATTAAATAAGACTAACAATCCAAAAGAAAAATGGGCAAAGAACATGAACAGTTTACAGAAAATGAAATAGAAATTGATCTTAAATATATGAAGAGATATTCAACCTCATTCAGTATAACAGAGACCACAATTGTCCCCCTTCTTTGTCTCCTTTTGGCAATAGAACCTCAAGTTTTCCCAACCTTTTTTCCCCAGCTATATGTGGTCATGTACTAACTTTTGGCCAGACAAATACAAGTAGAAATTATGAGTGGAGCTTCCAGATCAGCTAATCTAATAAAAGACAAACATGCAAATTGACTGTACCTTCACCATGCCTTAAGCCATGCCCACAAGCCAATCAGAGTGACTATATGCAAGTTAACCCAACCAAGATGGCGGCTGGCAGCCACGGAGCTGGAGCAAGCAGGAGGCTTGGTTGCTCCAGTGATGGAGGAAGCCAAGCTTCCCGCCTGCGGCAGCTGGCTCTGAGCTCCACTGAAGGCAATAAAGTTTCAATTATAGAAGGTAAATAAATACCAGAATAAAAAAAAAAAAGAAAAAAAGGAGAGGCTGGGAGCTTCCGTCACCGGGGGGGCTTGGCCAGCCTGAAAACGGCCCTCAGCTCCTCACCCAGACTGGCCAGGCAGCCCAGTGGGGAACCCCCACCCTAAAGAGGGTGTGGCCAGCCTGAAAACAGCCATCAGC